AAAAGGAAAAGCAGGCATACCTGGCCAGGCGGGAAATAATGGCTTACCAGGTCCTTCTGGTGTGGTAGGAGACCCAGGTTCTCCAGGAACTCCAGGACTACCAGGATTTGAAGGTAAGTTTACATATATTATATATATATGGAAATATATATAAAGATAACTATAGTATATATAGTATATATAAATAATAAATATAGTAGGGACGCAGTGGCTAAGATGCTGAGCTTGTCGATCAGAAAAGTCGGCAGTTCGGCGGTTCTAATCCCTAGCACCGTGTAACAGAGTGAGTTCCCGTCACTTGTCCCAGCTTCTGCCAACCTAGAAGTTCGAAAGTATGTAAAAATGCAAGTAGAAAATATAGGAACCACCTTTGGTGGGAAGGTAACAGCGTTTGGTGCGCCTTCGGCATTTAGTCATGCTGGCCACATGACCATGGAGACGTCTTCGGACAGCGCTGGCTTTTCGGCTTGAAATGGAGATGAGCACTGCCCCCTAGAGTCGGGAATGACTAGCACATATGTGCGAAGGGAACCTTTGCCTTTACCTTACATACTGCATATTAGCATCTTTTGACCTGAAGTGCTATAAAAACTGTAAGATAACGAATGAGACGATTTATGGAATGCTGCTGACGTGTAAGTGGCAAAAAGGGTAATCTTCACAGAAGATTACTTTCCATCATCATCTTCATTAGATCCCGTTCAGAGCACATTGGGCAGCTGTGAGTGTTTTCCAGAGATTGAAATCTTTGATATCGTCCCAAGAGACATTCATGATCTTAAGATCTTTCTTAAGTGTTTGGTGCCAAGTTTTTCAAGGCATCCCTTCAGTGGTGGGATTCAAATAATTTAACAACCTCTTATCTGCCCTAATGACCAGCTGGGTCTTTCCTGAGGAAAGAGGCAACAGTAAACTTTTTCCAAAAATGTTGCCAAGTAAACTGCCAGGACCTGTCCAAGCAATTGCCAGGAGTCAACACTGATTTGAAGGAATACACACCCACACACATACCCACACACACACCCTGGTGATCCGTGGACCACTGGTGGCCCACGAGAAAGGTTTGGTGGTCCGCAGAAAAATTCTTTGCATTTTTTATACTGTACTAAATCAGGGGTCCTCATTGCATGTATCCCTGGGCCAGATACATACAATGAATGCTTGTGTTGCTGCAGAGAGTCTCCCCCTTCGGGATCTTTTTGTGTGGGTCAAATGGGGGGGCAGAAATTCCAACTTCAGGGTCTGCTTCAGCCTCCTGGTGT